AGCATATTCAACGGCACATGAACTGTGATTTCTATCAACTGGTGATCTTAACGCAACCACCAGGCAATATCGTGGGCCATTGTTTGTCCTCATTGCCAGCCCCATGGGTCCCACTAGTCACGACTTCTAACTGTGCGACAAGGTTGCCTGGAGCTGTAGTAAAATGTCGTAACCAATGGGGTCCATCCAGTTGGGCCTGAAGACAAATACTAGCCAATGACATTGGCTAGTGGTCGTGCTAAGATCAAGAATTGATAAAGGTGTATTTCATGGACGGTTGAGTAGGGTCCTAGTGGGTGAATGGTCTACGAGAATGCCTTGCAGCTGACACGTCCTGGTTTCAAACCTTGGCGGTGGGTGAGTACTGATGAAGAGTTCTAAACCACGATGAAACAACCTTCCAGTACTCCCTGATTTTCAGTGGTTCTCTAACTGATATCAGTTCGTAATCAGACTTATGGTCACCTTAACTGACAAAATGAAACTATATTGGGATTCTGAAAATACTTTAAGCTATGCTGCGAATTTTCAATGAGCTGCATGTTTGAATAACAAAGCTTTGTCTATCCTTTTAGACAAAGTTTTCCTCTTAAGTTTGATTATCGACTAATATCAATTAGAGAATCGTTGAAAATTCCAAGAGGTACTCCACAGCTGTTTCCTTCTTGTTTGGGACTATTCAGCAGTACGCACTTATGACCTCAACTGTGACTAAACCCAGGACCTTCAAGTAACGAAGCGAGTTCGTTGAACACTCGGCCACTGTGAGAATTAGTCTAATGCTCATTAGTGACTAGCTACAGGAGAAAGTTGCTTGCTGTGCTAGTGAGAAATAGTGACCAATGAAGTCTACTATGTCGAGTACGAGAACGAAAACTCACCGGTGATATTGGCTGGCAGTAGGGCTATATGTCGCTAAATGGCAGAGGTTAGAATCGGTGAACCGTTGTTTTCTATTACAGGGACTGAATATCCAACGGGCTAATCTCGTCACCTGCAGCTTTTGGATTAAATTCCCTATGTAGCGATATCTACCTACTTCGGAAGAGTCTCAAAGCAAGACGAAACAGTTGTTAAGTACTATATGGTCTTCAATAGTTTTCTAACTGATATCACTCTATGATCAAACGTGAAACTAACTTCTGGAGAATAACGACGCAGGATAGAAGCGTTATAATATGAAGAGAAAAGGTGTCTAAAAAGTCATTGTTTCCATGTCAGTCTTTGTGCCAATTTATCCTCTTTATTTAATTATTTTGCATGCCCCACCTTCAGAAGAAACACTAGTTGTCCTTCTCTCATCATGTTGTACTCTTCTACATAATATTTCATTTATTTGTTAGCCTTACTAATATTCCTAATCTTTACTACTATTATCATAAATTGTGAGACATTTGTATTTATGAGCCATTGGATTTCTAGGCAGCGCATGAATAGTAACGTGTTAGCGTAGTGATCTGAAGGTTTCGGGTATGATTCCTGTTAAGATAGTAGTTGTATACTTCTTGATGACCACAAATTAGGACGAAACAGCCGTCCGGTACTATTTGGCTTACAATGACTGTCTAAATGATATTGGGTTGGTGATGAAATTTAGGTAATAAATAATTTGTACACCTTTTCATAGGAAGCTTTGGTGAGAAGAAAATGTGAACGATTCAGGGGAATTTAATAGATTTGACGACTACTATTATCTTGACCAGTAGGATACACTGTAAACTGGCAGTCTGTTTGAATCACTGGGCTACCTGAATTTCCATGGAATATAATGCATCATATTTCCTCCAATTCTTATTGTTTTAACCATTCAATTATGTCCTTGAGGCGTAAGACGAACTTTTGTACAGTTTTAGTCAGCTCCTGAACTACTGGAGCGCATATCCCGGAGACGACGAAAAAATATCATAAGGGAATATTCTATGCTTCAGATGGAACAGCATGGAGTCAGGCCATATATTATAGGCTGCCATTCGCTTGAAGACCTTGGAGGAAGAGGAAATATTCAGTAGTAAATCACACTGTGAATGCTTTACACTGTGTATATATTTTGTGTAAAATGAAGCTGTTATCACTATTATTTAACTTTCATGTCTTAGTTATTCACTACTATCACAATTATAAGTAATTTGTTTTGTAGACAAGTCATTCAATGTGATGCTGTATGTATACCTTATTGCAAGGTTCTGTAGTCCGGGGCGTAATTATTTGCTGAAAACTCCTTTAGTTCCATTTCCCCTCCTTTATGCTCCCCCAATGTCAATTATTAAAACAATATTTTAAAATTAGAAAAACACTGACCAACTTTAACTACTTCCTTCCTTCGCCAGTAGTACAATGATTCCCTCCTGATCTCAATTTTCTGAAGGGCTATTCATCTAAGTTGTTTTATCCACCTCCCATATTCATGAGAATGATGCTAATCTATTCGTTAGGAATCGCATCTAACGTTTGATTTTATTTAAGTGTAGCTATATACTACTTTCTTGGGGTACGTTTGACTTGAAACGGAAATTATTTTGACTGCCGTTGAGGGAGATAGATCATTTCAAACCAGCCGAATTCTGACTACCCACTTGGATAAATGTGTAAAGGTTTTAGGTAAATTTGTCATTCGGCTCTCTAAGTAGAATCTGACTGGTTACATCGCTGATGAATGACTGGTGAGCCCTGATCTTTGGCGTGGGTGGTGGTCTCAGACTACTCATGCCAGTGAGTAGTATACACCCTCTTGCAGTTTTTCTTGATTTCTGTTCATAGTGTCAAGCAGTTCGTACATCTATTTTAATCTGAACAGTTTTGAATGTCAAAGTAAAGCGTGGTTAATTTCCTCCTCAAACAGAGAAGTATTCAGTTCAGTTGTCGTTGCTCTATTCTTGGCCTATTTGTACAACCGAGAATATTATTTATTACATTGTCGAGAAAACACAGATTTCAGATAGAAACTTCTCTTTGCGTCGCCTAAGCTTTCATAATCACACAATCGTTACCATGTCTGAGTTACAACAGACAATAAGGAATACGTTTTTATTGGTTTAAATCAATTTTCATTTTGCCGTGGTTTTGTTTTTATTACTTTACGTTCCCAGTGGAGCATAGGGCTTCAATCTAGAGGCTTGAAGTTTTTATAGCATTGGTGATTATTTTTACAGGATGAGGTTGCTAGCTTTATGCCCAACCTTCCCTCTTTACCAATCTTACTACTGGCTTCACGAGATAAGGGAGTGAGCGAGTCTGCCGTGGATTGAAACCCTATCCACCTGAGTGGTCAGCGAGGATTCTACCGTTGTGCCACCGACGCGTTGACTGTTGGTTGATTGAACCGGAATATTCAACCCCAATCGATAACCAGGTTCCTAGTACAGACGCTTCGGGCTAACACGAAGTAATTTGGTAAATGGTGACTAGAAGTAATATCCAAAATGCTCACTTCGTCTTGTTTAAAACTACTCGTCAGCTACGTGTGCCAGTAATCCCCGGTGGGTGGTCGTATTCCACTTAGGACTCAAACTCAGTACCGTCCACCTCAAATGCCAAAGCGCCATCTACTGGACCACTTAAGCTCCGAGAGCCACCTTCTGTTCAAGGGGAATCGGTCTTTACTCTCTTTAAGTCAGTTCTGATTTTCCCCTTGTTTGACTGAACCGAAATATTCGGCCTATGTAAAATGTCGGCTCACAGTATGACACTTCGACTAAGCATTAAAGTGTGATGCTGCTGATTTGGATGATTATAAATCAGTTATTGTCTAGAAATATGAATGAATAAAGAAATGTGAACACAAAGTAGAACAGCTAACATGAGTAAATAGGTAATATTACATGATATCTCAGTGGAGATTGTGTATTTGATCATGTATTCTACGGTAACGGGAGTAAATATACCTACATAGACATAATTAACACCTTTAATTTTGCTGATGTCCTTAGACGGAAGAATGTTTTCTCAAGTTTTTTTCATTACTTTGATGATGAAGATAATCAAGTGAATTCGTTTTTTTTGAAACAGCTTTTCTCTTGATGTCTATAATTATCTTTGAAAAATATCTGCTTCTTCTAGACATAGTAATTACCTGAAAGTGTTTTCGTCTCAAAAATTGAACAGTTTGATGTCTTATACTTTATACCTTAATCAGATCGGAAGTAAGAGTGACTGAAAACTTTGCGGGGGGGGTGGTCTTCACCACTCACTACTCTACAAGTATATTCAGTTAGTGTTTGTTAGCTATCAACTGCTAAAAATTAATACTTGCCAACAATTAGGGACCTTTGTCTCTAGGTTTGATCACGCACTGATGTCAGTTAAAGAACCATAGAAAGCCAGCAGGGAATACTGGATAGATGTCTCATCTAGGCAGTATGCACCCACAGGGGTTCGGATCCAGGACCTTTCAGCTACAGTGAGGGCCCTCAGACCATTCAGCCACTAAGACCCAACTTAGTGGTTAGCCCATGAATTCTTACTACTACCAGTCAGTGATTTTAGCACAACCACTAGCCAACGTTGTCGGTTGGTATTTATCCCAACACTCAGCCCGGTGGATTTCACCGGTCACGACTTCTCACTAGAACTCCTTGCAACTCCATCCTGTAACCAGCCACTAGCTAACGTCAGATTAATTTTCATGATTTAGTATGTAAGGATTTGATGCTTTTCAAGTTTGGTCACTGTAGATGCGTACTGATGAGGTATTCAAAACTAGAACGAAACATCTGTCCAGTACCCCCGGGAGTATTCATTGGTTCTCTAACCGATGTTAGTCTGTGATCAAACTGAATACATTCAAAATAAGTACTCCAATGAAATTGTTTTCTACAGTAATAAGATGTGACATCTTAGACCTTGTCACTGCCAGATGAAAACACACCAGAATTCTACCCCTGAATATCTGAATTTACAGCCAATCACTTGTAATTTGATGATGGTGTTTAACATTCGCATTTATGTTGCCTGACGATGATATCCTCTTAATCACCTATTTTCCATTATTTTCCTCTCTTCAGCACAGTCATTTCTGTATATTTATGGATCCAACAGAATCGAAAGATATATCGAATGACATGGAATTAACTATCCCCCAGTCTGGAACAGATGAATTAGACGGATTACACAACCATTTTATCAATGGCACATCACTCCTATTCGGTAGTAATTTGTCTACAGATTTCAATCAAACAACCGACTGTAAACAGCTACTGGCATTTCATAGTATCTTCACGGAACCATTGGAAACAAAACATGTGAAAACGACATTTTCAATTGCCCGCCATATCAGTATCTGGTTAAGTCGTCAACATTTAATCATTTTTGGTTTTATTCCATATACAGTAACAATTATATTCAATCTCTTATTGATTCATTATCTGAGAACACTGCCATGGTTTTATCCTAAAGATAATTTTAGTGCCAATAATAATATTATTAGTAATAATAATAATCACAAATCACTTGAAAATAATTCAAAGCACAATTCAGGTATAATGACGCATTTAAACAAATTTGGTGCAGGTGTAATTGAAAAGTTTAAAGTTAAGAAAAATAGAGAAAAGTTGAGCAGTCCCCTCCAACCAATAATTCCATGTTCATGTGTATTACGCGCGGAGAATAATCCAATAATCATTGGTTCTACAAGTTCATATCCTCCGAATAAACGTAAAAATACACATAAAATATTTAATAACTTTAATGATAATACACTGACAGCGTATTATTCAACATCTGGACGATGTATTGTTCATTCACAAGTAGTGACACCACACACCTGGGATGGTACATTGAACTGTAGTCAACAGATAAATTCTAATGATTGTCAACTGTCCAGTACACAAGATGCTAATTCAGATAATTCAAAATATTCATGTTATGTATCAACAATTTCAAATAATAATTCACAAAGTCAATTATTTGTTAGTCATTCTAATGATAATGATGAATGTAAACAAACAAATCATGCAGGCAATACTGTTCAACATTTCAATGGTGTTCAATGTTGTTCAAATTATAAATATGATGTGAATAATTCATCAAATACTGATAGTAGAAAGAATACAGATATTCATATATTACTGCGTAAGCATAAATCGAATTCATGTGGTAAAGGATGGTTTGTTGGTCAAACGCGTACAACTGTTCTACTGTTGGCGGTTACATTTACATTTATTGGTCTAACATTGCCTTATTTAATATACGTGGAGTTAAAGCAAGTGAGTGATAACGTAATATATATATATATATATATATTATTGATGTTTGTTATGGTTCCCGTGGGTTCTGAGTAGAACACACATCTCTATTTCACTATTCTTTACAGTCAATGAAATCTACAACAGTTAGTCTAAGCCACGTAGGAAGGTGTAGACTTCCTGACTGGTTGGGGTCCTCGGGATGGTGAAAACCAATGGTTGGAAACAATTGGTGACATGGCTCAAAATCGTTCTCAATGGCGCAGATGCATCCACTCCTTGTGACTTATGATTTCCAATGAAACTGTATTGTTCTTCGTTATTACTATATCTTTGTCTCACACCTCTGTTTACTGTCTCTATTATGCATTTCTCCTAATTTCTTCTCTTGCTTTGTGCGCTACATGGAGTGTGGCGACTTGAACTGCCGCACATATATGCAAAGTTCTATGTCTTAAACAGACAAACAGACAGCCTCTTTTCAGCTGGCTCCATGACTGCCCGTAAACTCTCATCTTCACCTCCCATGATCTCCCCCAGGTCACTCTTGGGTCGAAACACCACTTATCGTTTCGCATTTCAGTTCCACTCAATAGCCTGTCTGAACGTGATGTCACTCAACGGCCGCCTCAGCTTGAGTCCGGTCATATCTCCGTTTTCTTCTGCATATTTGTTGGGCAACAGACTCTTAGTTGATTCACTGACACACTGCCTTGTCGCCTGTCCTTTCCAACCATCCAATCTTCGGTATGGAGCAAAGGAAAATGTAGATGAAAGTCTGTAGTAGGCTCTTGGAAGTGCTTGTCTATTTCAATTGGTATTGATTATCTTGTTATATTCATAGTTGACCTTTTGCCTGTGTGGTTTCATTTTCATTCTTTGATAAATTTAATCCATATCACTGTGTCTCTTGATTGGTGATTCCTTCTCTAAAATGTCTCTGGGATTTTCGGTGTCTGTTTTATTCATACTACTACAACGACTGGAAAAGAGGGTGGAGAAACCTCAGGGAATAACCAGTCATAAAGTTATCAGAAGGGACGGCAGTAGAACTCATGGAGAACTCTTAAAGCTGACTGTATGTTGAAGACAGTAGAAGAAGCATTTATACTATTATCACCCATATGAATAAAGCAAGACTCAAACTAGACATGTGGTATGTTTAAACATATGAATTAGTGGTTCAACGGTGAAATATCTGCCCTGTCACCTGGGGGGGGGGGTCTGGATTCGGTTCCTGGCCGGAAATCTCCTAATTGTCGCCTAGTAAGCCCTGAAAGATGACCAGGTTGAATGTTAGGCTATTAACCCTACATAGTAAAAACAACTTCAAAGCCACAGAGACTTCAAAGCTTGGAAAGTTGTGTTCTACTCGGAACACAAGGAATTCTTTGTGAAGTTCTTCCCATTGAGAATTTCGAACAAAAGAAGAATAACAAATAAAGGATATTATGACCTTATGTTTTTTATTTCGCAGATTATTTTCAGCTACTTACAGCCCACGCAATACTAAAATAAATAAATTTTTTTAAAGGAAAGATATGAAGATAATTTTATCAGCTTGACAACTGCAAGTAATATACATATTGAATAATGTAGCTAGTTAAATGATTATTTGCTATAAGGACTGATAATTTGTAGCATACTTAGACTCATTCCCGAAATTCAGAATTTTTTGATCAAAAAGCATCTTAGCAGCATATATTATGTAACATATTTCAAAATCATATTTGTATATACCTCAACGAAAGTGAAATTAATGGTTCCAGCATTTCATACAGAAAATTAATTCATTAAACAGAATACAGTGGTACTTTCTGGTGCCTGCGACCGCCTTATTCTCAGATTCTTTAGTATGTGTTCAGAAATCCGGAAAATAACTCTTCTCTCTGTTCCTCCAGTATAGATTCTTTGGCAAGTACATGTTAACCGTTAGACATAACATGAGACCGGAATTAGCTCACTTTTATCCAACTTGAGAATATACCTGTTTTTCAAGTATTGGTTTTGTAGGGATTATTGTTTGATTCGTTGGAGGATTTCATCATGAGCTGATATCAGTTAGACAACCATTGGAAAACCACCTAGGAGTTCTGGACATCGGTTTCGTCCTAGTTTCAGGCTCTTCGGTAGTACGTCCCAAACTAGGATGAAATAGCTGTCCGGTACTCCCAGTTTTTTACCAGTGGTTCTCTAACTGATTTCAGCTCATGATGAAATCCTCTAATGAACCTTATTCTATTAGCGACATCATCACGCTTAATGGCTAGCTGCAAAAAATAAGCCCCTTTTTCACTATTCAATTTTCCAGTTCAAATTTCTCTTGTTTGTAAGTTAAATTCTTCCAATAATCACTACCAAGGAGGTATCTCACTAAAATGGATAACTCTTATTCGATGTTTATTCTGAGCTAAGCTTTCCTACATGATCGAACAGCATTCTCACCAATCTCTTTTTGTAACTTATAAGGTACAATCTTTCGTACTTCAGATAAAGTTCTCTCCATTTCTCTTTCCTGTAGATATGTCTTATGATTTTACAGTGTGTTACGTTAAATACCGGAGTCAATAAAATGAAACTTCATCTTAAATGTTCTATTAAAATGAACATTTTTCAGGGGGCTTATTCCTTGAGATGCTTTTTTAAAGCTATCATAACTGACGAAAGTGTCGCCGAAATACATGGCACAGAAGCCTATCTGAATGATTATGGACTTCATTCTCGTTTGCCCATGTAAAGGTCTATCGGAATTGGACCAAATATGCTGCCCGTAACGACTCCATTAATCTAGCGACATAGAAGATTATTAAGCTAACATAACGTGTCTCTGGTATACATTATTGGAATCTTCTGAGCTTGTTGTATAACAGAAGAAGTTTAGATTATACTTACATATAACTTGCATAGTTTCCACTATTGGGATCGGTGTAAGTCACGACACTTCAAACAATACAATGAATTTACTCGAAATATTCAAACTGCCTAACTTTTTGGTGCAATTAAGGTTTTCTCAGAAGCTGTGGGCAGTCAACATTAGATGGATTGATGCCAGAAGTTTCTCTAATCATCAAGCTACTCTGTTAATCAATCATTATTAGTATTGGTTTTATAGGAAGCCTGTGTTTGTGTTCCTTCCGTAAGGCATATAGTTCTTCTAGACTTTATTTTATTTACTTTACGACTTTCGATTAGCTTCATCAGGATATCTCAAAGTTTTCTGGTAATTTTTCTTCCCACCGATTTACTCAAATCTTTCCTAGAATAATAATTTCAAAATGTTGTTTTGTCAGGATAAATTTAACATTTTGTAAATAATTAATGATCTTTATTCACTATCACAAAACAGCCGTCCATTACTCACAGGTTTCCCAGTAGTTCTCTAACCGATGTTAGCTCATGAATTCCTGTTACAAACCGATCAAATCCCTACAAGCCAATACTTGAATATCAATGAGATACTCACTAGTGACTTCTCCTATTCATGTAGGTTGTTAACTGGGTTCTAGTGGGAAGTTTTGACCAGTGGGACACATCAAGTTGGGTGTGAGGAAAAATACTCGCAGGGGATGGCACTGGCTAGTGATAGAGCTATATGTTGAATTGACAGAAGTTGGAATTCATGAGCCTTTGGATTGGGTTCCAATGGCTCAATGGTCTACGAGCTTGCCTTGTAACCGGAATGTCCTGGGTTGTAATCTTGATGGGTGCGTACTGATGAGGATTCCCAAACCAGGACGAAACAGGCATAAAGTACTCTCTGTTGGTCTTTCCAATGGTTCTCTAACTGATGTCAGCTCATGATGAAATCCTTTAACAATTCCTGATTCTTTTTCTGACAGCAGAATAACCATGTGTTTGTTGTTAAGCAAATTCCACTAGTATCGTTCAATGAATTGCTGACTAAAACCAAAAAACTATAGATTTGTGGATAGAGTTCACTAACGAGCAGAATTAACAAGGCGAGATTTAGGCCAGCCTTGACCTTCTTCATCCATTAGTTTTAACTCGGGCGGTTGATGATATACACTTTTTAAACTGGGTGTTTTTTTGTCGATTTTGTCGATAAATTTCATTGTAGTATAAAATTTAAATACAAGTGATGATAGCGCTTCCGTCTCTATCTGATTTAATTCGTTGCGTGATCATTTGAATATCAGCTTTTTAGATTTTTCTCAAATATCTGCATATATAATTTCTTTCTAACTACAGTTTTTCTTATAAGATTTCCTCGCTTTGGTCTGAATATTTCGAATGAATTTGACAAAGAGAAATAGGACAGTAATATTAGGTAGAGAAGAATATGAGTTGATGAATTTGTTGAGGGATAGGTTGCCTTTTTCCTTTACCTATATGTAACAAAATCGAGGTAATTGCATGCACATTGATGACTGAAGAAATGTGGGATAAACTAATTAACATTTGGTGACCGGAATTTAAACAACCTTAGTATCTGTCATCTGTTTCTTCCTCCTGTAGTGTGATCTCAGCTTGACCTATTAATACTTTCTAGCATGAATAGATTAATGATGCATAATAAACTCCGACTAGAACTTCTCCTAGTCAACAGTGTTACAACATGTATTGGTGTATTGTTTACAGTTGAGTGAAATTTGAAATGATAGGAATAAAAAGCTCTGCCTAGGTCTTCATGTAATTAGTAATTTCACCTCTGTTGTTTATTACTATTGACATTATCAGATCAGTTAACCAAAAGCCCAATATGGAATGTCAAAACTCAAAGAAAATCAAACACTTTTCTATCTTATTTTGAACTTTTATTAATTACCCTTGAGTACTTTAAATATTCATCTATACTAAAGAGAAATCGAAACAAATCATTCAGTATCTAGACATAGCGATTATTGTAGAGACATAGCGATTCTCAAGTGTCGATATCAGTTAGACAACCATTGGAAAAACCAACAAGGGGTACTGGAAATCTGTTTAGTCCTACTTTGGTACTGCATCAGTACGCACTCACCAGACTTCGGACCCAGGACCTTTCGGTTACAAGGAGAGCT